TTTCACGCCATCCCCAGGACACCCAGTATCCTTTGAGTCCTGGCTACCTTTGGTACCTGGGGAACCAAATGCCTTTGCATCTGGTGCCACATCCTCCCTAAGGCTGAATCCCAGGCTACGGCAGACAGTCCACAGACAGAGGCTCCAGGGAACGACCCCTTAACTTGGCATCAACCAGGAGAGAGAGGCCCTCGATGAGCAACCAGGATCTCCAGTGTTTGTCTCAAGGCTTCACCCCCATCCCATCCTCAGGTCATCGGCAGAAGCCTACTGACCAGCTCTGGGGTTAGTTTAGTTTTGTCTCTCTCGGTTTTTTCCTCCCTCTCAACCCCCTTTAAAAGAGTGAAGCACTCACACATGTTCCATGATGATTTTCGTCAACAGATTTTTGAGGTTTTGGTGGAAGTTTTCAGGGAACAGAGCAAGAATTGCCTCACTGGCAGTCAGGTCCCGGTAGGCCACCAGCCTGGTGAGGCGGTGCAGGGCACGGATCAGCTGTAAGAAAGGAAGGGTCCCTGTGGGGTCGAGAGAGGCCTGGCAGACAGAAGGGCTTTCCCACTGACACTCAGCGCAAGCTTTGACCAGATCCAGGCCAGATCCTGCCTCTGACACTGAGCTGCAGGACACTGGACAAGTCCCTTCACCTTTAAGCCTCAGTTTCCTCCTTTGTAAAATAAAGAGGCTGGACTGGATGGGCTCTGAAGGCCCTTCCACCTCATCAGCTCTGGCTCCACCCCCACGTCTAAGGCCTTGGGGACCTTGGGGGCCTGAGGCACCTCTGCGGAACGGCTCCGTTTGTTCCTTAATATATCCATCACTCTTCTGACCCTGGAATCAGTCCACATCTTTCAGAAGTGGGGCGCCAAGGTGCGATCTCTGTCCCGCTGGCGCTGGCCATGAGCTTTGGGAACCAGATCCCCACTCAAAAATATAATGATAATGGACTTGCCTGGGTTACCAGGTTCCTCTTTAAAAATGCAAACAGTCCTGGGCAGGTTGTGTTCTGTTGAGGAGCCACCCACCTTAAGGAGAGGTTGGACTGTCTCACCCCAGAGGTCCACTGGAGCCCTAAGATTCTACAGTCAGGAGCTAGACACCTCCTTGAACTCCGGGATTAATGCCTGAAGCGTCAATGGCCTAAACAACTACTGAGCTCCCTACCAGCACGAAGATCCCAGAATTCTCTCCTTCCTGTAGTCTACCCTTAGGGACTAGACTAGATCATATGAGGTCCCTTCTGGCTGTCAGGGCCCAAGATCAGCCTGGGAGTGGACCGATCATAAAACTTCTTCAGAGGTTCAGGTGAGGCATATGCTCTACCCTGAGCTCTCTTCTCCCTCTACCTTACTTCCCTCCCATTCAATTAATCATCTCAATACAAATGCTTCTCAGACCTAGTTATCCATCCCTAACCTCTTTCCTGACCTCCAGTCTCTTATCTCCAACTGCCTAGTGGAAATCTCAAACTCATTATCTTACCCCCAAACCCTCCCGTCTTCCAAACTTCCCCATCACCATTGAGGGTATCACCATCCTCCCTGTCACTCAGGCCTCTCACCATCCCCTTTCTCTTCCTATATATAATCGGTTGCCCTCTCCAAATCAACCTTCCTGTTATTTGGCAGGGGGTGCTTGCAGGCCCCCAGGCTCACAAGCTCAGGATCATCCTCAATCCTCACTCTCTCACCCAACTTCTCTCCTCCAGTCTGCTGCCAAGTCTTGCTTACCCTATCTTTGCAACAGCTCCTGTATATGCCCCCTTTTTGCCTCCGACATCGTCACCACCTTGAAACAGGGCCTAATCACCTCGTGCTCTTTCTTGTACAGTTTCCAAAACTCTTTCACACTTTCACACCACCACCACCCTCTTTGGCAACAACCCGGAAGGCTATGGACTTCATCCCCATTTCACAACAGAGAAACTGAGGCTCAGAAAAGGTCCCAAGGTCACATAGTAAGTGGCAGAGCTGGGCCAGGAAGTGGGGTCTTCTGACTCCAAGGCCAAACCTCTTTCCCCCAGAGCCCATCACAGTCCTATACCCAAGGGTACCTTCAGAACACACTCACTTGATCGGCTTCCTCCTGGGTCACTGACAAACTGGAACACGTGATGTCCAACAGTTTCTTTGAGCCAAGAGCTGAACTGGAAAAGCTCTCCTGGCACAGCTGTCTGATGACATCTTTCGAGGAGGCCTGGGAAAGAAGAGAGGGAAAAGACCTGGACTCAAGACTGTGAGAATGAGTTCTGTGGAACACAGAGGACCAAAACTCCCTGCAATGGCTTGTCTCTCCAGATACACACTTTTAAAGGCTCGTCTGCTGAAAATGCAAATTGAGTTGATAGGTAGTACTACTTGAGAGCTGTACTGGAGGGAAGCAACCATGAGTTGATTGCAGGGAGGGGTGGGGGGGGGTGTCTCATGTATGTAGGAAACCTCAAAGGATCTTCTTACAACATATAATGATACGAAGGGACAGCTAGGTGGCACCAGGCCTGGAGTCAGGAAGACCTACATGCAAATATGGCCTCAAGTACTTCCTAGCTGTGTGATCCTGGGCAAGTCACATCACCCTTTTTGCCTCTGTTTCTTCATCTGTAAAATGAGCTGGAGAAGGAAATGACAAACCGTTCCAGTATCTCTGCCGAGAAAACCATAAATGGGGGTCAAAGAGTCCAAGTAGCTGAAAAATGACACAACTTAAGTGATATAAAATAAAGATGGACAGAAGAAGGCAGGAGAAAAAGCAACAGATTTTGGGAGCGGGCTGCATGAGGTCATTTCTAAGGCCTCTTCCAAGACTAATGTTCTGTTGGAAACAAAGGAGGAGAGCGGAAAGAAAATTGGACTTGAGGGTCCAGGTCCCCATTCAAATATTACCTCTGACATCTGAAACCTATTAGCTGTGCGACCTCTCTGAACATAAGGTCCATTTGTAAAACAGAAATAAAAATGCCTATGGTCGTCATGGCACTGAGTCACTGTGAGGCTGGACGGGCCCTTGGAGACCATCAGGTCCAAGCCTCTCATTTTATGCATGAGGAAACAGAGAATAAATGAGGTGAAGTCACTTGCTCATAATCACATGGTTAGGAAGCATCAGAGCCACATTATACATAAGGAAAGAACTTTACAAATGTTAAACCATCACATAAATGTTATTATTACGTTTTTAGTCCTGTGGAATAACAGGTGAAAGTTGATAACAGGTAAATTCATAATTGATGTAGTGAAAAAAACAATATAACAATTACAGCTCAAGTGTAGTGAGTTATCTCCTTCAATAGTGTATTCCCTTTCAATGAAGGTCTTCAAGCCAATTCAATTCAATAAACCCTTATTATAATTATGGTCTCAGAGATTCAGAGCTGGAAGGGAACTCGGAGATAATCTAGCCCAACAATTTCACGTTTACAGATGGAGAGACTGAGGCCTAGAGAGGTGAAGTAATCACCTTGTCTAAGATCCCAGAGTGAGGACTCGTCCTGGGGGGCGGGGCTCTAGGCGCTGCGCCTGGCTTACTCTCAACATTGGTTCACATGTTTATCCTCTGACTCTGTGTGGTGAGGTCCCTTCTGGCTCTGAGTCAATCCTCACAAACTTTCCTAGACGACTGCAGCAGCCTTCTGATTGGTCTGTCACCTCTTTTGCTGCCAAAGTTGATTTTCCTCCGATGCAGCTATAACTACATTACCCCCATTCCCGATCAGCTCTAGTGGCTGCTGATTTTACTTCTGGGATCCATATAAACTCCTCTGTTTGGCATCTGAAGGTCTCCAAAATTTGGCCCTTTCCTTCCCTTCCGACGCCCTATAAGTGTTACGATGCAGTTACAGCATGCTGGTACCGCCGTCACCGTGTCGCTGGATTTCCCACCTCCGTGACTTTGCCCAGGCTGTGCTGCATGTCCCCCAGGCCTGGCAGGCTCTCCATCCTTTCCTCCGCTTCTGGTGACCTCGGCTTCCACCTCGCTCCTGCAGGTCTTTCCCGGTCCCCACCCCCCGTCAGTGGCCTCCCCTCTCTGAGACTGCCTCCCATCTACTCTATACATAGTTATTTCATGTGCCTAATTGGTTATTTATAGGTCTTCTCCTCCATTAGAAAGTGAGCTCCTTGCAGGCAGACGCTGTAATTGTTTCCCCTTTGGTTCCTCCAGGGCTCAACACAGTCCTGGACACATGACTGTTGACTGACGGACTGAGCCAAAAGCTGAAATGGAAGGTAGGATTATATAAGATCACAGACTTAGAGCTGAAAGAGACCTCTAAGGCGGACAAGTCCAACGTCCCCATTTTAGAATGGAGGAAGCTAGGCGGCCTAATAGAGAGAGCACTGGACTTGGAATTAGGAAGCCCCGAATTCGAATCCTACCTCAGTCACTTCCTAGCCTCGTGACCCTGGACAAGTCGCCGAACCTCTCAGCCTCAGTTTCCCCTCTGTAAAAAGAGGATAATAATAGCACCCACTCTCTACAGGGTGGTGAGAACCAGACAGCTTTAGGCAATTACAGCACCCTGAGATGGGACAAGCATGGCTCCTGCTTGCCAGGCCTGTCGTGAGGTCCAAAGGGGACCGGAGCTCTTAGGCCGGCGGCTTCCCCCTCCCCGAAGCAGCAGAGGCGGGCGCGGCCTCCCGCAGAGGAGGGACCTCGGCCGGGACGCGGGGCAGAGCATCCCCGCAGCCCCCACCCCCACCCCGGAGCTTCGGGGGCCGCTTCTCCGGCCCGCCCGCTGACCCCGATCTTCGCTGTCCGGAGTCCCGGCCCCGCAGTGAATTACCTTCAGCAAGCTCTGCAGGGCCCCGAAGTCCACCTGCACCTCCGCAGCCATCTTCCTCCCTCCCAGTCACATGACTCAAGCAGCCCTGCGGCCAGAGGAGAGCGCTGTACTGTCACGTGGTGGCGGCGGCAAGGCCGCTAGGCATGCTGGGAGTTGCAGTCCCGTGCTGGGGAGCCCCGCCTTTGCGGAGAGTGACAGGCGCTGAGCCCAGAGCTGGGGCTGAAAACACTGGTTTAAAGGCAGAGGCGGGAGGAAGCTCAGCTGAGAGAGGACAGGGACCACCGACCCCTGCGGGCTGGGTGAGCTGAAGGGGGTGAGGTGGGGATCCCCTGGGGGTGGGACTGGGGAGGAGATTCTGCTCTGAGGTGAGATGGGATGAGCACCTTCCTCCTGGGCGTTATCACCTCTCTCAGGGTCGTCATGGTGATCCTGACCGTGGCCGTCCTACTCTTGTCCTCATCACTATTATTGTAGTTACTGCCGTCATCATCGTGACTGCCTTTATTACTATTGTTGTTATTAGTTTGTTGCTATTGCTGGTATTATTTTATTACTGTTCTTGTTATTAGTGATTACTCATTGTTATTAATTTATTATTGTTATTTTTGTCTTATTATTTCTGTTGTTCTTGTGATCATTGTTTTTACCATTGCTGTTATTTTATTGTTATTGTCATTGTTACTAGTATTATTTTTGCGATTGCCAATCATCATTTCTGTTATTGCTTTCATTACTGTTGTTATTATTCTTATTATTTCATTGCTATTATTGCTATTTGTTTATTACGGTTATTATCATTATTACTGCTGTCATTATTTTGATCATTTTTACTATTATCATCATTTTATTGTTACTCTTGTCACTATTATCATTTTTATTGCCATCGTCATCATCACTATTGCTTTTATTACTATGATTGCCATTGACACCATTATTATTTTGTTATTACTGTTACTATCATGGTTTTAGTATTAACTATTGTTGTCATTATTGTAATCGTTATTTTTTACTAATATTATTTTATTTAATGCTATTATTGCCACATTTTGCTATTGCTGTTATCATGATCATTTTTATTCTATAGTCATCATAATCACTGTTTTCATTATTATTGACTATTGTAGTCATTATTTTATTTACTATTATTTTGTTACTATAATATTCTTATTTTATTATTACTATTATTGTCATTATTTTTTAATTATTGTCATTATTGTGAGAGAGAAGAGGAAGGGGAGACCGGTTTAGGTCTCTAGGCTTTGCAGGAGAAAATGAGCTATCTACTCTGGGTCTTTCCATTTTTACAACTCTATTCTCTCTGCCTCCTCCCCTGCCCTCAAAAGATTATAACCCCTAGATACATTATTTTTGACAGTAATAGAAAGAGCATTGGTCTTGGAGTTGAAAGACTTGAACCTGAGTCTCAGCGGGACCCTGAGGAGGCAAGTCACTTCCTCTGTCTGAGCCTATGTTTTCCTTATGTGTACAATGGGGCTTTTAATACTTGAACTCAGAGCTGTTGTGAAGAAAGTGCCTTTTAAATTGTAAGGGGTTATGTGAGCGTCAAAGGTGATTGCTACTGAGGAAGTACTTTAAAAACTCTGGAGAACTAAGGGAATGTGAATTGTTACTATTATTTGTCAGTTTCTCCTTTCCTTTGCACTTAATAGTACATAGATTGTAGCAGCTAATAGAATGGAAGGTCCTTGAGGGCAGGGGTGTCTAACATTTAGATATTTCAAAGGATCAGTAGAGGTGTCAAGGGATTCAGAGACCATCTAGTCTAACCCCTTTGGGCATTTAACTAATCCAGTTTGCCCAAAGTTCGTAGCCAGTAAGAATATCCTCGACACTAGTCAGTAAGTCATTAAACATTTCTTAAGTATGCCAGGCACTGTGCTAGGGTTACAAAGAAATGCGAAAGACAATCCCTGTCCTCAAGGAGCTCACAGTCTAACAGGGACAGTTTCAGGTTGAGTTCCTATAGTTGCCTCTTAATAAATGTTTGTTGGCAGATCGATCTCAAGCTAGAAAGAAATTCAGTTAATCCAGTCTATCACTCCACCTTTTTTTTTTTTTTGTAAGTAAGGGAAACTGAATCCCAGAGAGTTGAAGTGACTTGCCCAAACTCACAGAGGTAGCAAGTGACAGAGCTGGGTTTTGGACCCAGGTCATCTGGCTCCAAACCTTTTCCACTTTGAAGTGGTGTGGTGGATGGAGCATCAGGCCTAGAGTCAGGAAGACTCATCAAATCAGGAAGACTTCACCCTGTTTGCTTCAGTTTCCTCATCTGTAAAACGAGCTGGAGAAGAAAATGGCAAACCACTCCAATCTCTCTCCCAAGAAAACCCCAAATGAGGCCATAAAGAGTAGGACATGACTGAAAAACAACTGTACAACAGCAACCACCTTATGATCGGTTTGTGCCTCGGCGATGGTTTTTCACCAAAGGTTGGTCCAATCCTACTTCCCAGACTGATTGAGCATCAATTCTCTAGCACAAAATGATTTAACAGAAGGAACACTATATTGTAGCAATATTTTAAATCCTGACACCCATACTTAACATCCATGGGATCTCACGTGTTCTGTTAACCTCTCTGGCGCTCAGTTATGTCCTTTCTACTTCGCCATACTGTGCCGCGCAATACACCGTCCACTTCTGACTCAGTTGTATATGCCATGAGGTGCTTCTTGGTCTATGTAAATAGATTTAAACCCTTACTGGGCCATCAAAAATTCCCTAGACCTTTCATTATGGTTCATTTCCCTAAAACTCCAGAGTGGGGCCTGAACCAGATTAAAATGTAATTGAAAAATATTTAACAAAATAAATAAAAATGCAGCACAACACAGATGATGTTAACTTGTGGTTTTCTAAGTCAGTGCAAGGCCAACAGGGGTCATTTCTTTCTGGTTTAGTACCTGGGAGTCAGGAGATGGCTTCTGTGGATAGATCTGGGTTGGAATCCCACCTTCAGTACTTACTAGCTTTTTGATCCTGTACAAGTTAGTGAACCCTTCTGGGCTCGGGATCTTCTTCTAAAATTAAGGAGGTGGGCTCATTCATCCCAAAGGTCCCCTTCTAGTTTTTTGATCCTATGACTTGTGGCACTAGCCCTGGTCCTGGTGGATGACTTTGCCCAGCCCCTCTCTGGGCCTCAGTTTCTTCAAATGCAAAGTGAGCCCAATGGACCTGCTGGTCACATTCCCTTTTCTGTGAAAGGAAGTAGGTCACTCAGCAGGGAAACAAAAAGGTATGAATGTTTGGGAGGGGAAGCAGCTCTGCCACGGGCCACCAAATGCTGGGGTAAGGTGGTCCCCTAGCTCCTAGTCTACCATGCCCCAGGACGTGAGGGTAAACACACTCCCCTTGCCCAGCAGTTCCACCAAGAATGATCAGAGAGTTCAGTCATATGGTAGAATGACAAAAGCCTCGCTTCTCTTCCTCCAGGGGCAGCAGGAACACAGACAAGTTTGGAACACAATGACAATTATTCCTAGAACACAGGATGTCTTTGTTCCCAAAATACACAGAGTATCAGTTTTAACAATGGCGCTTCACCGTTCATCCTTGAACACCCTGGCCTTCGGAAGTGTCTTTGGGTCTGGAACCAGCAAAGTCCTTCCTTCTGGCCACGGATGTTGTTTCTTCACGCTGATTGTAATCCAACAAGCATTTTCTTGTCTTATGTGTTTCTCAGGTGCTTTTAATATGTCTTTGGACGACCTTCCTTCCCTCCATTTCTTCCTCTTTCTCTCCTTCTTCTCCTCTTTCCCCTTGGTTTGGAAATGCCTAAGAAGTGACAGAGAGGCCTGGTACCAGGTGAGTCCAGTAAAAACTCACCTGCCAGAGCCCAGGGTAATTCCAGGGGCAGACTCCACAGTTTGGGTGGAAGGGGAATGAAGAAAATGTAGCATGTTTGGGAAATGAAGACTGTCCAGTTTGGTTCTAGCGCCCACTGTAGAGATAAAGGTAAGATATAACTTAGGGGTAGCTAGGTGGTGCAGTGTATAGAGTGCCAGGCCTAGAATCAGGAAGCCCTGAGTTCAACTCTGAGCTCAGATGCTTACTAGCTGTGTGACCCTGGGCATGTCTGGAAATGTTGGGGATGAGGCATGAGAGCCAGATTATAGAGCCTCCCATGCCTGGAGAATGCTTTTGGTAGACAATAGGAGCCAATGAAGATTTCTGAGCAGAGGAATGATATGACCAGAGTGGAAAGGAGCATCCAGGTTGAAATCAAAGGATCTGGGTTCAAATGCTGACCCGGCTATTTTAACTACCTGTTGTCAATTGTGTATGGCAGGGTTAGAGAGAGTGAAGAGTCAGGGAAATTGTAAGCCTGGGTAAATGAGTGAGTGATTGAATGAATGAATGAATGAATGAATGAATGAATGAATAAAAAAACATTTATTAAGCACTTACTATGTGCAAAGCCCTGGGGATATAATAGAAAAGGAAGACAGTCCCTATTCCCAAGGAATTCCATGAGGAGCCGGGGGCAACGCCTTCAAGAGGTTTCTGCTGCAAATCTGATAAAGGTCCAGATTGTCCTTAGGGACTGCAGCAAAGCAGATGCACCTTCTTTAATGTCATTCCCGCTCACAACCTCACATCACTTTCCAATGCTGGATCATTCAACCTCATAGTGAAAACGTTCTTCTCTGGGTCTTCAGGTGCTGTGGCTGTGGCACCCAATGCTGGGCTGCATTTCTGTGTTGATGGTTGAGGGGGCAGAGCTGGGGAAGGGGCTTAATGAAGCTCTTGGTGTTGAGGGTGTCAAGGATGGTGAGCCCTTTCCCACAGGGATTGCTCCCCTTGGTGATGGCTGCAGAGCCTGGGCTGACAGAAGAATCTGTGGTCTGTGGGGTGTTGCTCTTAGCTTCAGCGTGCTGGGCTATCTACTTCAGAGTCTGAGGGAAGATGGTGGCCTGATTTACCTGGAATATACCACCTCCTGTCCCTCCTTCAGGTTACTTTGCTGCTCCTCCTGCTAAACTGGCTTGCCTGTCCTGTCGGTAGATGATGGTGCCTGCAGCAGAAATAAGGACAGGGAATTAGAAAATGCATTCCATTTTGGACACATTAAATTGGAAATATCAAAGGGGCATCTACCAGGAAATATCCAAGATGCAGTTGGAGCATCTCTCTGTGGTCACAGGAATGTCGTGGGCACAGCCCAGGGTGTGCATATAGGTAGGTGTGTATTCCAGGCAGGAAAGGGGCCCCAGTCTGCTTATTTTTCATAGTAAAGGCCAAGTGACAGTTTACCTTCCAGTCAGCTGGTTTTCTGTT